GTTTCTGACTTTACATCTGGGAATTTAAGATTGTTCAGATTTGGGGAATCTCTTTGATCATTTATTAGATGAATGAATGAATGAATGGTTTTCGTTAATTGAATGTAGATGAATATCATCTACTTGCTTTTTTTTTTTTTTAATTAAACTGTGAAATATATTCGAATCTATTAAACTATTGTTATATGACAAGGAAAATATGTTCACTTAACACCAAGTAGTGCTTTTTTACGAGAAAATTTTCCTTGTCAAACAAGTTTGAATAGTGCTCCTGTTTCCATTTAGCATTTAGCAATCACCTTTACTGAGGAAAAAAAATTACTTCTTACCCAAAAACCATTTTGAGCCAGACATTTTCGATTTCTCGCTAAATATGTGGTAACAAATTCTACCTTTTCTGTTAGTGTTTATTAACATTATAAATATTGTTTGATGTTTTAAAAAAATGTCAAACACACAAGAGTTAAGAATACATTTTTAAAACTAACGAATACTCATTAAAAAAAAGGAAAAAAAAAACCTTTATATTCATCCATAATTATTTTTAATTTCTGACAGAATCAGATTTAATGAAGGGATAAGTTAAACATTGATTGAAGGATACTTTACAACTAGTCATTCAAACTTTTACAAAAACAAAAAATAATATGTGTGTAATTTTATAATTAATTCCAACAATGATTTATTTTTTAATTTAATAAAATCAATTTCATCACCAAGTTTATTCCCCTTTCTAGCACATTGATTCATCGAGAAGAGAAACAAAATAAACAAGGGACAAAACGACACAACAACTTGATAAGTATTTTTAAAAGTCCAATGGGTTTGAAAAAAATTATACTTAATTAAGTAGATGTACCCAAACGTATCAGCTTAATATATTGGGATCTGGCGACTTGATTCTGTCAGATTCGGACCATTTATCTAATCCTGATTTTCTGAACCAAATCCATTGCAGCTTTTCCTAAGATTACATTTCATGTGCATAACAGTTCTCTTAATTTTTAATTTACAAGAGAGAAATTACTGTCATACTGATTTAAAAGGTTAAACAATGTCAATTACTCTTTTTTAAAATTGACAATTGGAGGAAAAATAATCAGAAACTCTCAAATTTGTGATTATATAAGAAGCAAGCACTCATTCATAAAATTAGTTGTCGAATAAGAAATTCATTCTTAAATTTAGCAGTTAAAAAAAAAATAATTGATTATTCTGAAAAAAAAAAAACTTCTAATATAAATAAAAAATTGCATTGAAATATCAAATATGGAAAGTAAGATTTTCAACAACATAAAAAATTAGAGACATAATATACAATTAAAAGTTTTACCCAAAAATCAAGCTTATTGATATATTAGTATGAACTCTAAAACAAAGATTTGTATGAACACTCTACTCAATTATCAATTACCTTGGCATAAAACATAACATAATCATTCGATTTTGTTTAAACTTTGCTAAAAAATTTATTAACATAAAAAAAATGAGTAAAAGATAAAATTTTGGTCCAAATTTTATCTTTTTAATTACTTATTTACATAAAAAAAAAAACATTTAGTTCGAATTATTTTTTAGAATAGAGTTTTGTGAGAGATTTAGAAATAAAAATAAAAAGATAAGATTGTGACAACTCGAAAAGTGAAAAATTGTAGTCAAAATTGAAGCGTAAAAATCCATGAATCAAACAAGCCCCCAAAAAAATTTGTCACCTATCTGCCCACATCACCATTCACCAATAAGAAAACAATCAACGGCTGAGATCTCGCTGCGCCGCACGCTCATTTCACTGTATAAATACGCGCTTCTTCTCAGTATCAAAGACAAAAAAAGAAAGAAAGAAAGATACCCATTAGCATTAAATCCACAGCTTTCAAAGCCCAAGAACACAAAAACAAAAGAAAAAATTTCTTTGTTTTTACAAAGCTGAGCATTTTCCAGGAGATGAGCAAAGATCTGAGAGAATGGGACGTTGTTGTTTTGGCCTATGGAGTGTGGTGATACTGGTGGGTCTTGCGGCGTTTATGGTGGTGTTGCCGTTGGTTCTGCCACCGCTGCCTCCTCCGCCATTGATGCTTCTGTTTTTTCCAGTGGGAATCATGGCTGCTCTCATGTTCCTCGCTTTCTCTCCTTCTGAAACTGCGGCTACAGATAACATTGTTTTTTGATATACATTTCGGAAAATAGTTGTGGATGAATCGTCACGAAATGGAGATGCATTTTGTCCGGTAACGTTAATCGGAAAATTAGAGTAAACGAGGAGGAGATTATGGTGTCAGTTGAATTAAATCTTATTATATATATATTAGTTCTACATTAACTAAGGTTAAGGGTTCAGTAGTTGAGAGAATTGCCGGTATGCAAACTCCCGGTAATTTACAGGAAGAATGTTTTTTGGGTTTTTTTTTTTGGGCGAGGAGGAAGACTTGTAAAAATATTCGGTAACGTTACCGGTTTGGTTATATAGTATGACCAATTAGTTAGCGACTTTATTTAATTGTTATTATTATTATTTTATGTTTCTGAACGTGTGAGATACAGGAAGCCAAAGGTGACAATTAAAACATTACAAAAATAAAAATAAAAAATGGGAAAATGGGAAAATGGGATCTAATTTTTTTTTTTTTTTTAAACAATATGTTAAATCGCTTCTTTGATATGGGGTTCACTTGTTCACAATTTTGAAGTTTAAGGAGAATTGATGGCATGTAAGTCCCGGTAATGTTACAGTTACCGTGACCTGTAACATACAATATTACAGAAGAAATTAAACTTTGGAAATGGGATATTTTTAAAGTATAAAACGATTTTTTAAGAGTCTATTAAAAGCTGTTCTCATGAATCAGGATATCAAGAGTAAGAGGGGATAGCTATAAATTATTAACACTATAGTCCAATTTTTTTTTTTTTTTTTAATGCATATTTCATTACTTCAAATATTGCATATATATATATATGATAAATTAACAGAAGTAATTCAAATCAAATATTAATATAAATTTGGTAAAAAAATATGAGATACAACTTCTTGAGTAAATCTTACCAGTTACCACTCTTAAGTAAATTAATGGCTTGAATGGGCCAATTCAATGGTTTAGGGCCTGATCTTAACATGATACATATAGCCTTTTTAAAATTTTGAGGTGTGCTATATTATCTATTTTCTTCGTTTTAATAATAAACTTCTCTTATTAGTATATTGAATTTTATGTAAGGTAAATTTTAAATATCCCCCCTTCTCCCCTTTCTTATTATTTTTTAATTGCTAAACTTTCCTTGAATATATTTATGAGAAATTGTTATAAAAAGTGTTTAAACTGTTAAGAATAATTATTTATCAAGTATAAACAATCAATTGTTTTAATCACTAGAAATTCAATTACATGAGCTCTATCACATATTTTTTTTTATGAATAAGTATATAAATTCCCTTTAAAAGAAAAAGGTTTCATAATAAATAAATAAAAAGTGATTATAATTAAGGGTTATTTGAGATATTTCATAAAAAGTGTTTTTACTATTGAAGAAGAAATATTTATTTTAGTGTAAACAAAGATGTCCCCCCTAAGAAACAAAATTAAAGAAAAAAGAAAAGTCTTTTTGAAAGAAAAAAAAAAAAAAGTGATGATTCGATTGGGCCAATCAATTGAGCCATGCTGGACTCATGAGGCAGCGGTCCGTAATCCTTCCACTGCCACGAGCGGCAGGTTATCGCTACTCTGTTAAACCAGCCTCACGCTGTACCCTCCACTCTACGGACCACAATCCTACTGCTTTCGCAAGAAGCCCATGGCCCAACTCCTGGCTTGGAATGGGCGGTCCGAGAAGAGCCGCAGGAGCCCGACTCATTGGGTGAGGACCGACGTCTCATCACTCAGCCCCCACCTGGGTGACAGGCTCGCGTTACTGAGCCCGGCGGTTAAGAAGCTTCTGAATGTTGTTTATAAAGTATTAAAAGAGCCTTTAGCGAACCGATGTGGGATGCATGTCTCTTCTTTGGCAGCTGTATGATTTTATTGTTCTTGTATCATTTTTTTTAAAGCTTTCTTGTTGTTCGGTTAAGACCACTCCATTGAGCCATATTAAGCCTCCTGGCAGTAGGAAATGCTTAATGGAAAAGTATAACCATTACAAACTTCATCATATGTCAGTCTATCTCAATTCTAAAGCATCAAAATATGAAAGAGGCTGAGCTTTGAAGATATATTGCACCCAAAAGTATACTTTTGATACTATTTTTTTTTTTTTTAAATGTATATTCATCATTATACATTTAAAATTAGGTTTTTACTACACATATTTTTATTATCTCCAATACAAAAATCAATAAAATAATGCTTAATTGAATAAAATTAAATAGAACTAACAGTTATTGAAAGTTGACTAGTATTGATCAATAAAACTATGCTTACTCACAATCTTACTAACCTCTTACTATCCTGTGTAAATATAACGGCATAGTACATGTACTATATGCATGGTATCCGTACTAATGTACTATGCCGTTATATTTACACAGGATAGTAAGAGATTATTAAGATTGTGAGTAAACATAGGATTACTCAACATTGATTTCTACAATTTTGGCGGCGTTTGTAATGAACAATAAAGGTGTTTTAGAGTAGTTTATTTGGGTGCAAATAATTCAATCCTATGAAATTTTTTTTTTTTTTTTTTTTATAATTAATAGTCCCAAATTTTATCTATCAATAAATTGTATTAAATTTGTAATATGTATAGATTTGAATGGTTCATTAGTATTATTATTTAGAATTCAGCAATCAGCCTATAATTATAATCCATCTTAATATTATGAAGTTACAAGCTCTGTATAAACCATAAGAGAACTTTTTACAATTTTGCTAATTCATGGAATTTTTTTAAAATCTCCCTTAAAAGAGGACAATGAAATTTCGCTTTACCTTACATTCTTGGAAATTAGAAATCCATATATAACTTTAATTTTTTTTGCAAATGCATCTCAATTGATCTAAGAATAAGAGAGAAAAAAAAATACAGTTAATCACAAGTATTCCAAATATTCACAAATGAGCTACAAAATTGATGGCTCTGCTCCACTGCTACAAAATGTTACAACAAAATTCAAAATACAAAACTAAGAAGCAAATAATTCTTCTTGCAATGCCTTCACATCTCATTGTTAATGATGTCCCTCATCATCTGTATTGGGATAAGCCCTTCTGTTCGGATTGCATCTTTGTTCGGATCTGGACTGATGAAAAATAGAGTTGGAAGCCCTCGTACCTGAAGAAAAAAATTTAAAATTGGTTTCTTCCTTCTACTAACTCACACTGTAAATTCAAGACATCATTCTTACAGAAAGTAAACTTTTGGATTCACTTGTTGCAAAAGAAGATTTCAGGCAAGAATAAAGATCATCACAAGACATGTGGGCTCAGAAGTAGTTGTAAAACAAAGATATATTTTGATACATATGATTCTGTTCAAACTGGGAAAGGTGGAAGAATTACGGCAAAAATAAGTATAATTTTAAAGAAACAAATAAAATTCAGAAATGACCTGCATGTCACGTGCAAATTCATATTCATCATCTGTATCAACCTTGACGATCATTGCATTGCTTTCATACTCCACTGCTAGCTGAGATAATTAGTACAGACATTATTCCCAAGTTTGTAATGTTGAATAACATAGAAATTATACTTCTACCGATCAGCTACTATGAAGTCTCAGAAGTTCGGTAAAAACTTTAGAAGTTTTTTTTTTACAACATTTAAAGACCCAATACAGCATGGAAACCAAAATAATAGTACAAAAAATGTGTTGTCTTCAATATAACAAAAAAGCTGATGTAGCAAAAATCAAACACTCATACTGGGAAAGCAATATAAGTTATCTAACAGTGGTTGCAATCAATCTCAAGAGCCCCAAAACATGATGGAAATTATTTAGATGTCAGTTGCAGTTCCAAGAATGCAGGTTGGACATAGCTTTACATTTCTTATATGATACATTGCTCTTATCAAACAATCATCACAATAAAGCCTTTAAAAAAAATTGGAGTACCAAATCCAATGATCTATTGATTCTACCAAATAATGAAGCTGCACACAGCTTGCATTATGTCTGTTATTTCATCATTTAAGTCATTTGGCAAGAGAAAACCAACATATCATTCAGCTTATTTCCTTTCTCAGAAAACCATTCCATTTTCTTCTTAACATAAATCTCCAAATTCTGCTTTCTTGAACCTTAATTCTACCATTTACCATCTAATTAATCAAGTGACATCACCAAGTCATAGCATCAATTCAGTGAAATAAGTTAAATATGATGTATTCCAGCTTTGCACCCTAAAATTTAAAGCAGAGGACTTACGAGATTGCAATCTCATAATGAGAAAATAACCCAAGAAAACATTCATCCGCACACCTCCCCTTTAATTAATTACTTCACAAGAAAAGTGTTCAACTTCTACCTAACAGTAGGATTTAAGCAGATTTACAAAGTATAATATCTCCTCTCAATGCTACTATGCGAGAGAAAGAAGCATGTTACAATTCTCCTAAAATGAATCTAGCAACAAAATAGCCTGTTTAGAAGCTATTATAATGCAGACAATAAATCCTAAACAGATTCCCAATCACGCAACAAAATGTTTCTCCTCCCCACCTATACTAATCACTAGCTATAAGAATTTAATTAGACCATGCACAATAACACAAAAACATTGCAGGAAATACTACAACTAAAATGTTTCAAACTTCAAAAAAATATTGCGCATACCATTTCAAGCTCTTGAGCCATTAAAATACAGGGTCCACACCACGTCGCATAGAAATCAATAATAAGCGGTACATTTCTTTCCCCCTTTACCAGCTCCTGTATCTCTTGAGCCGTTTTCTTCTTCTGTCAGTCCAAAACATCATACGCATTAACCTCCCAACTCAAAGATATCCCATGAGAAAAACAATTAACACCCCAAACATACAAAGATAAGGAAATATCCATCAAGTGGGAAGCCTTTTTATTCTAATAACAAAGTTTTTTTTTTAAATTTTCTTAAACCTCCCTTGTAAATGATCATCCATGGAATTTCATAAAGTTTAATAGTTTTTGAAAATAATTAGGTAACACTTCAGGGCACCTTATTCATTTATTTACTCCTTCACTTCATATATGTTATGCCTAAAAGAGCTGATAGAAAATGTAATAAATAAAATTCTCCATCTCAACCAAAATTTCAAACAAATTCGAACACTTTTCCCGGCTCAAATACACAAAGAACGAATCAAGGTCTCTAATTTCCTAAATCCAAAATCATCTCCTATTCACAACAATTTCAAATTTCTTCATAAATCCAAAACAACAACAACCCATAACACAAAATTACTAAAATATTAAAAAAAAAAATTTGAGCTCATAGTGAAGTAAATTTAAAGGCCAACCCATTAAAAAAAAAAAAAAAAAAAACATAAATTTAAACAATAAAAAGAATCATAAATAGGCCTACAGTAGAAGCATGAGCATACTACGAGATAGTCTTCTCTGACATATTTTCCAAGAGGGGGTTTGCAAAGCAACCTTCTGGGGTGTGTTGAGAAAGAAAAATTTCGATCTTTTGTAATTGGGGAGGAAAATGAAAAGAGTGAGTGGTTTTGTTGAAGGGTTTTGATGGAAGAAGAGTGAGGAAGTGAAATGTGAGCTGAGGTTGATGGTGATGATGAGTGGAACGAAGAAATTGATGAGAAAGTTGGGATTGTGTGAACATGAAGCAGGGCCATTTGGAGAAGAAGTGAAGTGTAGAGATTTTGCAGGGGCTTAAGCAGGCTGTTTGCAAAAGTGTTGCAGATATAATTTGGTGCCTGTTTGGTTGTGTCAAAACATATTTACCTGTGTGGAATCATAATATCACCATACCGATATAGAAGGGATGTGTTTGGCTTTTAAATTTTCTTTTAATCGTTGGGTTGAAGAAAAGAAAGTTTCCTAATAAATATTTTTTTTAAATGTCCTTGTTGCTACTGAGATTTAAATTAAAAAAAAAAAAACAAACACTATTTTTTGAATTAAAATTTTTAAAAATTTAAGAAAATATTTTGTTCATCGATTTTAAAGTAGTTTTAAAGTTATATCTCAAACCTGTTTCTAAAATATTTTAACCGAACGTGTTTTTATAGAATTTTTTGCATGTAGTTTTTTCCAAACAAATAAAAAATAAAATAGTATGTGAATTTTATGTTAAACAAGAAAATTCTTCTATAATAAGCTTTTCTTTTTTAAATTATAAATTATCAAAAATTTTAAATTTTGACGATACTAGAAATTGTGAAAAAGAGAAATGTCAAAGTTATAAGTTTATAGGTGCATATTTTACAAGAGCTAGATTATATTTGATTTTCAAGTTATTAATTGGCTAAAGTAACGTTTAAAAATATGTTTTTATTTCATGTTTCAACTACATAAAAATATGAGAAATTTAAACTAATCTCCATTGAAAGTTGACTTAATTACAAAAAAAAAAAAATTATTTTGTTTATGCAACTGATAGGAATATAATTTTTCATGAAGTTTTGATAAATAACATCAATTTCTCCTAAAATAGGTTCTATAAAATTTATCCTAATTCTTCCATTTAGGACCAATTATAAATCTTAGAGTAGATTAATAAATCTTAGAGACATTATTATGAACTTGTTTATAATTTTAAGTTCATTTCCAAAAAACCACAAATGACCAATTATAAACGAAATGGGCATTACCATATTGTGCTACTAGGAGTACTTGGCATGTATACTGACCAAAGACAGAATTTGCTATCCCTTTCGGCTTTCGTGGCAACTTTCCAAGATGAAATTAGTGGTGAGATAATAACTGTCTTCAGTGGCTAGTTACCAAATCGAAACCTATTGAATCTATGAATAATATAATATATATAAACTTTATGGATAAATTCAATCATACCAACTGACGTATTATAGGGAGAACGACATGTTCCCACCCAAAGTTTGACGAAATGACACTTTCTCACCCTTCAAGTTTAAAAATGACACTTTCCCATTCCTTGTTAGGTTCTATTATGTTTTCTGTTAATATTTTATTAAAAAGATGAAAGTACCCTTAAAAATTTGACTTTATAAAATTTTAATTAGCTAAAAAGTAAAAAAAGAAAAAGTTTTTAGTTCCACTTAAAAAGTTAGGAGAAATGCTATGAAATTGTTTAAAGTTAAATGATCTTAATATTTATTTATAATATCATCAATATCTCATCACTATTATCCAATAATCTATTAAATTTATAATGTTTTTCATTTTTCCTAATTAATATGAAAAATCAATATTCCTAATTAATTAAACATACAAAAAAAAAGTATCTTTACACTTGAACTAATAAATAATCGAGTAAAGACTTTGATTTAATTAAATTTTAATTTATAATAAACTAATTAAGAAATAAACTATTTAAGGGTATTTTCGTCTTTTCAATCAAATATTAATAGAAACCATTAACAGAACCTGACGAAGGGTGAGAAAGTGTCATTTTAAAACTTAACGGGCGGAAAAGTGTCATTTCGTCAAACCTTTGGTGTAAAAATGTCGTTCTCCCCGTATTATAATATAATTGGATGATTTGACTGGGGTCGAGTCTGGAGCTTCTTTATTCATCACTGAAGCCAAACAAAATAATGGGTCAGGTGTAGAATTTTGTTCTCTACGTATTTGCCGCACTGTATAATTCTTAAAAGATTCAAGTTCGGATTTGACCTTCGACAAGCTGGGAGTCACTGAAAATACTGGTTGATTTTGCTCCCATTTTTTTTGCCAACTAAACCCTTGCGAGCATTGGAGGTAGTGAAACCAAATCTAACTGTAGCTTGAATGCGATCTCACTTTTGAGCAAGAGACCTGCCCTTGCTTATTTTTCATTGGACGAGCCATTAACATAAAGAGTCCACTTCCCCAAACTCTCGAGCTATTGCTCTACTGGAGTGGCATTATTAAAACTACTAGCTTCTAGCGAGCTTGGCTTTTCCTCATGTTGGTATGAAAATTCTGAGATAAAATCTATCAATGTCTATCCTTTGATGTATGTCTGTGGCACATACTTAAAGATCATACTGGCTTAATTCTATAGTCCATTGAACCAGTCTATCCGACGTCTTCGGTTTCTGCAAGACTTTGCGAAGTGGGTAGTTAGACAATACATGAATTGTATGAACTTGAAAATATGGCCGCAATTTTCTGGATGCAAACAACTAGAGCTAATGCCAACTTCTTCATTTTCAGGTACCTTGTTTCTACATCCAACAGTCGTTTACTCATATAATAAATTGGCCACTGGACTCTCTCTTCCTCCGAAGCAGTGCTGCATTGATCACATGTAAAAACATAGATAGGTATAAGAGGAGTGGTTCTCTGGGTATTGGTTTTGATAATAGTGGAGGCTGCACGAGGTGTTTCTTCAGCTCTTGGAAAGCTCTCTCACATTCTTCGGTCCACTTGAACTCTTTATTACCCTTCAATACCTTAAACAATGGTAGACACCTACCGTCGCTTGAGAAACGAAGTGACTAAGAGCGGTAACTCACCCAGTTAGGCTTTGAACTTGCATCGACTTTGTTGGGCTTTGCATGTTCAACAGCGCTTGAATTTTCTCTGGGTTTGCTTCAACACTGCGCTAGTTTACCATGAATCCCATGAATTCCCCCGAGCTAACCCCGAATGCACACTTCAGGGGGTTTAACTTCATCTAGTATTTTCTGAGGATACTAAACATCTTTCTCATGTGCTTGACATGATCTTTTGCATCCTTTGACTTGGCAAGCATGTCGTTAATGTACACCTTAATGATTCAGCTGATCAGTTTCGCAAACATTTTATTAACTAAACATTGGTATGTTGCCCCAGCATTCTTCAAATCGAACGGTATAGCCCTTTAACAATAAATACCTCGGTCAATAATAACTAAGGTGTCCTCCTCATCAAGCTTATACATTAGAATTTGATTATACCCTGAATAAGTATCCATGAAGCTAAGTAGTGCGTTCCTAGCTGTTGCATCTACTAGCCAGTCTATCCGAAGTGAAGGGAAGCTGTCTTTTGGGCACACGTTGTTTAGATAGGTGAAATCAACATTAGTCTGTCACTTGCTGTTTTATTTTTTAACGAGGACATGATTGGTGAGCCAGTGTGGATACTTCACTTCCCTTATGAAGTTGATATTAAGGAGTTTATTAACTTCTTCCTTGAGCACCCTAGAGCACTCAACATCCATTGACCTTCTTTTCTGTCGGATTGGCCTGACTTCTGGGTCAATGTTAAACATGTGGCACATAATTTCGGTGCTGATCCCTACCATGTTTCCATGAACCCAGGCGAACATGTCCAAATTCTCTTTCTGGAACCCAATTAACTTCTCTGATAGCTCGTTGTTGAGGTTGCCCTTAATCTTTAATATGCAAGTCGATTCCTGCTTACTGATAGGGACCTTGCGTAGCTCCTCTGTTGTACCAGTTGATGGTTCCTACTTATGGATACGAGGATCTATTGTATCCCAAAGTGGTCCGGGCTGTGGCTTGGTTCCTACGATCACCATTGTCTGAGGTCACCTCCATTTTTCAACTGTACTGACTGCTCTTTTATACAACTCTCTGGAGTCCTGTGAACTCCTAACAATCTTGATCCCATTTGGAGTGGAGAATTTCATCGCCTAGTAGTTGAAACAAGTTATTGCATTCAAACTGTCAAAGAGCAGCCTGCCCAACATCGCGTTTTACACTGTTAGGCAGTCTACTATAAAAAATTCTACCATCAGCGCCTTCGTATGGGGCTCCTCATCCAAGGTGATAGGTAGGGTGATCATGCCTTTAGGAAACAAGCGATCCCTGGTGAAGCCATACAAAGGTGTAGGAGATCACTTCAAGTCCCACTCGGTGAATCCCATTTTGCGGAATGCATTAAGGTAGATAATGTTGACCGCACTGTCATTGTTTACCATGGTCCATAATACCTCGCTGTTAGGAATCAATCTACCTAACGCAGCAGAAAAACAAAAATTAAAAAGATGAATTGATTCCTTATATGCCAAGATCCGGGTATAGATTATATAGTTTACATGTTAAATCAAAATTTTGCAGAAAGATAATATCAATCCAAACAAGGATCAGAGATCTTACGTACGTTTGGAGGCTCCTTCAAATGTTTCTAAATCAACTTCGCACTTATTCAACATAGAACCGAACTAACGGTGATCCACACGAAGACAATTCGAAGAACCAATAAGGGATTTGCTAGATCCACTTAATGGCTTCAAGAAACAACTTGAATCAAAGAAAAACTTTGATTCACACACAAAGGGAAATGTGAGAGGGTCAGAGAAAAAGGGTTGCCTCTTTTCTTTCAATCATGAATGAATTAAATTTTTCTTTAACACACATGCACTTATATAGTGCATGTGCTAAAACCCTATTCATATAAGGAATAGGCATGAGCTCCAACCCTAATCCACCCTTGTATCCAAACACCCTTGTTATGGTATTTTATTTTTTAATTAATTATTATTATAATTAAAATCAATTAATATATTTATAAAATATATTAACATTTAATTAATAATAATAATTCATATGCGTACATATATTTAAATATAATCTCACAAATTTAATTTCAATATTAAATTAAATACAGGCAATAACCTCAGCAAATTTAATTGCACTGTGAGATTACCAAAATACCCTTTCATCTAAAAGATGAAAATACACTTTGTACAAACTAATTTTTAAATTATCTTCTAAGTTTGTGACTCGTAGGCTCCTCATCACATCGACAAT